GTAGAAGATGTAAACAAAAGACTGCTGAAGAAATGTAATATTGTATTTCTCTTCCTTCGTTTCTTTCTTTCTATATGATTGCATCTCATCAACAGCTTTTTGCCACTGTCTGTCTATGTTCTTCTATTGTGTTGACGAGTTTGAATCAATCAAGATGCACTAAAAATCAATTCAGCACTGTTCATTACATTATATTCATTCCGCTTCTCCCCGTGTTCATTGATTTACAAGCACCAAATGTCGCGAAATTCGATAGACTAAGTTTCATTAGCATCATATCGAAAAGATCATCAAAATTGAACGAATTTTCAAGAATCTGTTCTCTGGAGATTTAACTTTTTTATGTGACAAGAACATGTTAAAATTTGTTTTGATGTAAATAGAGGCGTTTCTGCAGTTTTCTTGGTTTGAAAAATGTTTACATTGTGATTGTATAGGAGGAGTACGATGCATATGCGGCGAAAATACGGCCAAATACGATTATTTGATCTTAGCCGTAATCAAGTTGTATACTAGTATTGTAACACAGTACTGGACGGTACAAATGAGGTCGATTTTTTTCATGGTTTTTATTTCGAAAAAAATATGCGAAACAGTATGAAGTATTATCCATCAGAGATAAATTTCAATTGTTGCATTCTGCTCAGTTAACACGCTAAAATAAAATGTGTCGCTCACAACAGTGTCACAACTTGTACTGTGAAAACGTGTTGTAATCAGGGCTGCCATTTCTTGTTTTACAAATGGGGTACATTTGGGGTACATTCGTTTTTAGAACGGGGTACACTCTTGGGGTATATTATTTTCCTTCTAAGATAGAGGATTTAATTGAGGAAACCGATGAAATAAAGCTTCTTTTCTAGAAAATAACACAATATTTCACTACTTTAATAACTGGATCAGCTTTATTGTTCGTTTCCCCTCAAAAACCATCACGCTAGTTTATTCGTGACGGCTGTTGCAAAAGTTCTGAGACAAATATGTATTAATTTTTCATTGATTAAAACACGTTTTCAAATAATCGAAAATATCTATTCTTGAGGATCTTTTTCGATTTTCTTCAATTGGTTCCAGTATTTTGTTGTTGTTTCCCCATTAGATGAGTGGTTTGATTCTGTGCGAACTAGGTAAAAAAACGGACGGCATTACTTTAGACAGTATGATCGAAAAGTTGAAAGGAATGATCTACAGAATAACGTCAAAACCGAATGTCTAACGATAATGAGCAGAAAGGTGTTTCGAGATTCGAATGACGTCGTCGAAAAGAAAGAAATCAGACGAACTAGGGACCACGAGAGATCTAAAAAACTCGTCTGTCAATATGCGAGACTTCTTGTATTATAAATTCTTAGAAAAGACAAACTTCAACATCGCACAAAAAAACAAATAGCAACTAGAAAGATGCTAAGACCACAGAAACTGATTTTTCAAATGTTACCTCAAGAAAACAACAATATTTTCGCGACAGTTTCTCTACAGTAAAGGGAATGATCTAATAACGACAAAATAAGCAATATTGCGTTAAATAAATTGAAGGAGATCATGAAATTCTGATGGAGTAGTAACTTTGCAGTGGCCGTTTTTCTTTTCCACTCTGCATTTTTTTGTACTCAAAAAAGTGTTCATTACTTGAAAAATGAGTCGCGATAGAACATTCTTGAATATATACAGTTAAAAAGAGCTTTTGACATGAATTCTAGATAGGTATTTTCGATCTTTCAGAAATATATTTTAGTCGATGAGAAAAGAACACACTTGTATTTGTTCGAGAAGTTTTGCAAGAGTCGTTAAGAACAAATAATGACAAAATAAGAAATGAGAAAAGAAGAGAAATTTATTTAAACTTTTTGCATTGTTCGTAGTAAAAAATATTATATAAAACCGAAAAGTTTAGGATTAAATTAAACAAGATGGATGCTTATATCTATTGATTGGTTCTTGACTAATATATTCTATTATAAATGTCCTTATGAAAATGAGAAAAATTTAGCGGAAACATAACTTATTTCATCAGAGGATTAGTTAATCGCACGGAACACTTAAAAGCCGAAATGGGGTATGGGTGTGGGTGTGGGGTGACGGTGTGAGTGAAGAGATGATGGACATTCATATAGATAGCCACGATCTTTCCCATACCCACTTTCATCCGTCCCCATACCTACACTGTGGATGTGGCTGTAGC